CTTTGCTGTCGTTTAGCGTCTCTGTGTTCATTTGTCACGGGCAAAACATATGACTCGCTGAACATCTGCTTATCAATAGGCGCTACAATTTACCGATGTCCCCTAAACGCCCCACATTGCCGGCTGTGGTGGATGCTGCTCGGTGGCTGTGGTGTCCTCAGACAGGTGTGCGACCAAAAAAGAGTAAACTAGGGCGTTCTAATGTCAGATTTGTCCAAAATGAAACCAACTGATTTTTTTTCTACTTTTCTATGAGCAGGAAAAAAACAGCGCTTTTCACAACATGACCACATTTTTAGGTGTAAACACCGCAGTACTTATAAAAGTCCTACTTTCCACCACTGTGGTTAACACAGCAGCTGCCTCTGTTAACGGTTACAGCGACACTAATGCAGCTCAATGATCATCATGCGCTCGCACAAATGCCGCCATTCTGATGGCAGTCTGGAGCCCTGCTTTGAGCATCTTTCTCATCATTATGTGCTTTTTATGATCTTTTTGTGTGTTTTTCTGGTTGTTTCGTGCCTCTTTGTGGTCATTTTGTGTCTCTTTGTGAGCTTTTTGTGCAATTGTACGGTCGTTTTGTGTCTCTTTCATGCCTTTGTGGTCGTTTTGTGCCTAATTGTCAACATTTAATAGCAGAAATGAAGGAAAAACACAACCGGAGTCCATTAAACAAATAGAAAATCAGTTGTTTAAACTTCACCGGGCTTCAGGTTAGACGATTGTTGTCTGCGGTGAAACCAACACATACGAACATGCTCCTACTTCCTGAACATGGAATCTCACGTCCCTGAAAACTGCTGCGGTTTCATCGTACTGTTGCTAAAAGGTCACAAGGTGTGTTGGTGACGCTGCAGCAGGTCGAACCAGACAGGTGAGAATCCTTCACTCTGGTTCTGATGTGACGCAGAGCAGAGAGAGGAGCTGGATGTGGGTCAGCAGACTCTGCAGTGATTAAATATGAAGCACTGAGATGTTCGGCTGCATCACAACAAACATCCTGCAGCAGATCCTCGTTTACTGCTGCTCATTATGTGATAATTAATTAATGAACGATGTCAGCAACAGGAATGCACATTTTAAATTAACCAATAATCGATCGACGGTTGAATTAGAGTCCATGTTTTTGCACTTTCTGATTTTTAATTCACGAGGCTGAATGTTCAAAAATCTGGAATTTAAGAGCAGATCAAGTCAAAAATTGCTGAAAAAGTTGGCAACGAGAGTCAGAAAAAATATGTTAAAAACTGTAAAATTAAAAAAAAATTAAATTCAAAAAATTCAAAAATTAAAATTAAATATCTTTATACTCGTCGCTGATTTTAATACAATTAAAACAATGTCATTTTACAGCCACACAAAAAGAACAAATTTGTATTTGTTAAAAAAAAGATTTTTGATGTAATTTTTTTTTTTTACAATCTATATTTAAATAAATATTTTTTCTCTGAATTTATTAAATATTATCTGTAATTTAAAATTGCAAAAATTGGTAAAATAAAAAAATTTGTGCATTATGTAAATTGTTTTAAAAAATTGTCGCCTTTTTGTAATATACATAATATTAATAATAATAAAAATAATATTTTTGGTGGTTTAAGAAAAATAAAAATCTGTGTATTTTTACAAACATAAAACAATTAGTTACAAAACAATTATTTGCGATTTTTAAATCTTTACATAATTCATAAATATGCTTAAAATAATGAATTTTTAGCTGATTTAAATACAGTTAAATAGTGTAACTTTACAGTCAAACTTTATTTAAAAAATTAATTATCATTCATAAAAATAATAATTTTAAAAATTGGATGTATATGTTATTTACAGTTTTGGTCCATTTTAATAGAATTAACATGTAAATTAATATTTATCTTTCCATGCTTTACTAGTTATTATCTGTAATTTAACAAAACAGCACAAATCTGTAAAGTAGGAAGCTGGATGTCACACATGATGTGTTTTTACATGTTCTTGTTTCGATAAATGGCGTCATTTGGTCATTTTTTTAAACCTGCCGGCAGGTTCAGAGGTTTAACACTTTGACCAGAATCGAGTATAAAAGGAGACGTGGCAGCGCTTTCTGTCTCTCTTCACTGTAAACATCAAACAACGGCTTAAAAGCCCAAAAATAAACCTAAAAAAAAAACAAAGAAACTCAGCTGGAACATCTATTATTAGTGGATTTGACAGTTTGTAGTCCGTAAATAGAAAACTTTCCATATTTGTAGTCCTTTAATGACAGAAGAAGGTCGAGCTCAGACTGAACACATCTGAGCTGTTATTTTTAATCCAACATGTAAAAAGCAGCGACAGCAGCTGTCGAGTCTTTTCTCTGAAATAAACTTTCCTCCTTAAAGCTCGTAAAGAAGCTCTTTAAAGGTCAGAGAATGCTCCTGAAAATACAAATCCACTGCTTTACTGGAGTTTCTTCTTGTTTTCGAGCCACAGATTCTCACTTTGCTTTGACTTTCTGACCCCTCCAGGCCTCCGTAGGACAGGTTGGCTTTAGACTAACAGTGAAAAACAGCCTGAAGCAGCAGAAAACCTGAAACTAAAGCAGCCATCAAGTCGATCAAGTTGAGCTGAAACCAGACGTTCTGGTGAATTTTCTCTTTTTGTCTGAAGCAGCAGAAACACGTTGAACTGATTCATGTCCTCAGAACCAAACCGAGTTTATCAGTTAATTCTTGATCAGCTGCTTTAGTCTGATTAATGTGACTCTGAGACGTTTCTGTGCTGCCAGTTTACTGATTGAATCGTTCACAACAAACTACAAACACATACATTAAACATATTTCTTATTATGATTTGTTATATCTGTAAATGTAAAAATATTTGAATAAAAATAATTTCAAAATACATGAATGTTTAAAATAATTTATTTTTTCATTTTACTTATTATTATTTTATTTGTAGATTTGAAAACAGATTTTCTTGTTTTGAAATGTTTAATATGATTTATTATTTCATTTTGTTAATTTTTTTATTGGTATTTTTTTTTCTGGTTTTGTACTTTGTAATGTTATATAATCAAATGTATTTTATCTGTAATATTTTAAATATTACAAAACTTTTTTTAATTGAAAAAAAAATCTAAACATTTAAGATGTTTAAAACTCTTGTTTGTAAAATTCTGAAATATAAAATAGATTCATGAAAATATTTTCTTGCTTTGGAATCTTTCAAATAATAAATAACGTAAAAATAACATAAATGGTGTTTTTTGGGGAAACATATTTTAAATTTACAAAATATTTTTCTGGAATTCCTAAAAAAAAAAATTCTAATGAAAACCTTTTTCCAATTTTTTATTATTTTGACATGTCTAAATAACAACAGATTTTCTTGCTTTATAATATTTGTACTTTTTTTTTAAGTTATGAATCTTCGTGATTTTTGTAAAAATATTGTAATTTTTAGACAATTTTTATGTGAGAATGTTTCTGTAAATATGCAAATTTTGTTTTTTGGTTGTTTTTTTTTTTTGCTTAGGGTGGAGCCTAACAGTAGTAAACATTATTAGTCTGTAAAAATTTTTATATGGTTAAATAAAGGTTAAATATATAAAATAAAAAATATTATGACCGGAGACTAACATTTACATGGATTGTTATTTTCAGATTATTATCTTGGTGCAGAGTTCAGATAAAAATCCTTCAAACGCTGAAACACGTGAATATGTTTTTATTTTGTAATTTGTGTTTCTAGAAAAATATGTGAAGCGCAAACACACAAACAGCCTGCAGCCTACGTGCACACACACACACACACACACACAAAGGCAGCAAACATTCCTGCAGCAGCACATGAACCTTCAGCTGTAATAAGCAGCAGATTCTAAAGAGGACGACAGCGATTATGTAACCGCTGGATACACAAACACACACACACAGACTCACACACACACACTCACACACACACACACACACACACACACACACACACTCACACACACACAGCTGAGGCTGCAGTCTGTGTGATATGAAGTGTAAAATGAAAATCCTGCTGCAGAAACAGACTCTGAAGGAAACGTTGATGTTCTGATCCGACATGAAGCCACTTGGTGTTTTGGCCACATTGACGTAAAGCAGCTGCGACTGTTTTTACTGAAATAACGAACAAGTATTAAATATTAAAACAAGAATCTGCCGTTTGTACGTTTATTCACACGTCGCTGCAGACTGAAGCTACCGTCACACCGTCCATCTACCAGCTTTGCTTTTTGCTTTTGTGTCTGTTTGCGTCGGTTTTGCATCCGTTTGTTCCTTTTTGAGTCCGTTTTCGTCTCTTTCTGGTCCTTTTGCGTTGTTTTTGTGTCTCTTTGCAGCCATTTTGCATGAAGTTGTCTGTTTGTGTGTCTATTTGCACCCGTTTGTGTTGATTTCTTTCTCTCTTGTCACCATTTTGTGTCCCTTGGTCTTGGTTTTGAGTCGTTTTTGTGTCTTTCAGGTACTCACGGGACCCCTTGCTGTTGTGTTGTGTGTCTGTTTGCGTCGGTTTTGTGTCTCTGAGTCAGTTTTAATCTCATTCTGTCCGTTTTGTGCGTCTTCATGTTGCGTCTCCTGGTGTTTTGTGTCTTTGTGCGTCTCTTTGCTGTTATTTCTGTCTCTCTGGATGTTTTTTGCGTCACGTTGTGTCTCTGTGAGTCCGTTTTAATCTCTTTCTGGTGATTTTGTGTGTTTTCTGCGCTGTTTTGTTGCCTATTTGCTATCGTTTGGCGTATTTTACGTCACTTTCTGGTCATTTTGCGTCATTTCTGTTTGTCTCTTTGCACCTTTTGTGTGTCTAATAGTTAATTTGATCTCTACTTGCACTGAGTCAGGATCTGTTTGTGTTCTTTTTAGTTACAGTACATCTGTCATTTCAGTTCTGGGCAGTAAAACTGGGTCTTCCTCAGGGTTCAGGATCATCAGGATCATCAGGACTGCACTCTAAGTGTGTGGTAAGTGGTGCCTGCAGGTGTTACTGTACTCGAGGTCCAAACCAGGTCTCACCTGTACAGTGTCCGAAGCGTTTTCCCGCCACGCTGTCCAGCACGGCGAGCGTCAGGTTGTCGGGGGTGTCGGGGTGCAGCGGCGTCCCTCCTCCGTCGGTGACCAGACTGGCCTCGGAGCTCTGCTCGTCGCTGGACAGGGACGGGCTGCGGACGTCTCCTCCTCCAGAACCGGAACCGGAGCTGTTGGCGCTGCCGGGCACCGAGACCGGGCCGGTTCCCGCCGCCGAGGGCCAGGAGGGCGGGTCCTCGCTGTCGGGGCTGCAGGGGTCAAAAGGGTCAAAGGGGTCAAAGGGGTGAACTACGTCTTTGTGGTTTCTCTGCTCGCTGCTGCAGCTCTTATTTTCTTATTTTTGGTCATTTTGTTTTTTCTGAGTAAGATAATTTCCATCAGGATGAAATACAGATTTGATCTTTTCCTCATTATTTAAGGTCCAGAGAAAAATACCAGAACACATGAATCAGACCGTCGCTGATCTCTGACACATCCAGACTGTGTCTAACAACATATCTGCACTTTTTTATTATTTTTTTTTTACAATTTTTTAATCTCTTTTTAAATTCAAAACTGTGTAATTTAAATTTCTATTTTAAAAAATACTAAATTAACACTTTCCCCTTGTAGCTAATTTATCAGATATTAAATGTAAATTAACAAAACAGGGAAATTCTGTCAAATAAAAGCACATTGAGCAAAAATATTTGCTGTTTCCTGTATACATATTATCTGTAAATAATTTTATTTATTTTAAATATTATGGTCAAATGTAATAAAAGATAAATTACTAAATTATTTGCCTTTTTCATATTTACATTTTCTAACAGCAAATATTTGTAAAATAATATTTTCTTCTGGTTTAAATGCAGTAAAGCTGTATTTAAACTGTGAAACTGTGTTGATGAAGCGTTTATGAAAATACTGATTTTATTTCCATTATTTACAGTTTTGGCTCCTTTTTAATGATTATTGTGTAAATTCATATTTTTGTATTTTCTGTCACTAAAGGAAAATCAGTCAAATAAGAGTAAAAGGGTTTTTAAAATCATTTTTAACATAGATGTGAAACAATATTCTGATGATTGAAGAAACTTTTACAGCCAAATGTAAAAGTCAAATCATTTTTCTTTTAACAGAAAATATCTGCAAAATAATATTTTCATATTATTTTAAATACAGTAAATACTGATGTGATGTTAGAGTCACTCTGATGGTTTTTATGTGTGACTGAACATTATTTAGACGTTTTGTATTGGTTTGTTTGTTAACGTGTTGATTCCAGCTGTTCCCTCCATCCCGCCGCTCACCTGAACACCTCCCGGGCCTGGCCGCTCTCCGGCGACGTCTCCCTGAAGAACGGAACCACCCGGGACAGGCTGGCCCTCCGGCGGGACGCCCCGGTGCCGCCGCTGGCCTTGTCCGCCACCCCGCCGACGAAGCCGCCCGCCCGGGTCAGCGCCGTGGTCTGCTTCTTCAGGAACTTCTCCAGCGGCTTCATCCCGGCCGGCATGGTGGGCCGCTGGGTGTGGAGGGCTCGGTGCTGGTCGGTGCTGTGGATGCGGAGGTCGAGCTGCTGGAGGCGGCGGGGCTCCTACATCATCCTCCGGCCGCTGCGGCTCGGCCCGGGCAGGTGTGCGCAGGTGTGAGCTCCGAGGCTCGGCGGGCTGCTCTGGGAGGACAGCCCGGCTCTAACCCATCGGAGGCGGCGGAGGTGGAGGTGGAGGGTCGGCGTGTCTCCTGGTTCTCCGCCTTTCTGGTCAAAAAAAAAAGAAAAAGAAAAAGAAAAATCTCCCAGAATCGAGCTCCGAAACACCGACGAACCGGAGCTGCTTCTCCCCGGAGCCTCCTCAGCAGCAGCGGCCAAAGCTCGACGCACCTGGCGGAGGAGAGCCGCCCCGGGCCGCTGTTCGGCTGCGGCGGCTTGTGCGGGTGAAGGTTCGGTGCTGGTTCGGTGTTTCCAGGTCGGTCCGGCTGCCTGTCGTTCCCCCGCGGCTCTCCGGTTCGCTCTCTCCGCCCCTCCGCATAAATTAACGGAGAAGCGACGGTTCCTCCCCCCTTCTGCTGCAGTTGCGCGCTCCCGACTACACGGACGGACGGGCGGGGGCGCGCAGGCACGTTCACGTGTCCAGCGGTGTAAAAATTGATGGAGATGAAAATATCCCTGACGACAGGAGGAAACACCGCGAGATTTCACCGAACACCACGGAACGGTGCTTGTGTTCAGATGTGCCGGTGAAGAGGAGCCTCCTGCACCAGCAGCTGATCACTATTGATCCCCAATGACCCCACCGGTAATCAATAGCGAGCAAAGAGGGATGCAAAACAACCACAGGCACAGAGAGACACAAAATTTGCAGAAATACAGGATAAAAAAGCAATAAAGGTGCAAAACAACCACAAAGACACAAAACTACAGACAGAAAATAACAACTAGAGACACAAAATTAGTAGAAATAGATGAAAAACAGTTTAAAGGAAAAAAAGAAAAGAAAACAACCACAGAAAGAAAATGACAACAAAAGACACAAAAGGAGCAAAAAAAGCAAAAAAAAAAACTTTCAAAAAACAACAAAAGAATCTCAAAGAGACAAAACGTCTACAAAAGACACTAAATCAGAACAAAAAGATGGAAAAAAAAGGACAAAAAACACAATAAAACTGCGACAAGAACCAAAAAGAGACACGAAATTTGTAGAAATTGATTTTTTAAAAAGTAAAAGAAATAAATAAAAGAAAAACGAGCACAGACAGGAAATGATAACAAGACACAAAATGAGCATAAAAAGAAAAAAGACATAAAACAACCACAAAGAGACAAAACGACACCAAATTAGTACAAAAAGACGAAAAAAAAAAGAGTCAAAAAACACTAAAGTTGCAAAACAACCAGAGCCGAAACTAAAATCAGCACAGAGACACAAAACAGTCACAAAAGATGGAAATCCATCACAAAGCGACTCAACAGCATCCTGTACTTACAGAGGACCAGATAAAACCTCGTGTCTGTTCAGAGCAGCTTCCTACTGGAGCCGGTATCGATCAGCGTGGTAACCTGATCAGGTAACACGACCCTCCTCCTCCTCGTCTTCATCACGGCTACAACATGTTCCTGTAAAACGACACCTTGGTGCTCACCTGGACGACACGACACACCGAGCACTCACCTGGATCGCCTCAATAAACGGCAGTGCTGGAGTTCAACAGGACACGAAAGACGACCACGAAGACACTGAATTACCACAAAGTGACACAAGATGACAACAAAACCCCTAAAAATGAACAAAGCAACTCAAAATGATAACAAAAAAACTCCAAAATTAACACAAAAGGACACAAAATCACAACAAAAACCCCCAAAAATGAACAAAGTGACAAAAAAAATGATGACAAAACTCCAAAAATGAACACGACAATAAAAAAAAGCCCAAAATGAACACAAAGGGACACAAAATGACAAAAAAGTTGAACACAAGGAGACGCAAAATTAACACAAAACGACACAAAACAACCGCAGGCACAAAAAAAACACCTAAATATGACCAAAAAGATGCAAAACCACGACACAATTGCACCAAATGGCCACAAAAAAGATGCAAAACAATCAAAATGACACAAATTCACCACAGAGAGACACGACACAATGACAGAAATACACAAAATGACCACAAAGAGATGCAAAACCGTTCCACTGAAAGCTTTTTGGCAACATTTGGAGGTTTTCACAAAATCTTAGCTTTTCTTTTTAAAGCTCAAACTAAGAACAGGTGCACGTAAACACACCTGACGCCCATATTTGGAAGAGCATCCGGGTTATTAGAGGTCATGACTCCCAACAACAAAACAACAGATTGTGTCTGTTGTGTCGCATCTGTTTACGTTCATGTTTCAGTGAACATGTGTGTAACACGCCTGTGACATCACTGAGCTCATGTCTGCACGCGCTCAGTAGCTCCGGTGACACACACACACACACACACACACACACACACACACACACACACACACACAGAGGGATGACTGAGGCGAAGAAACATGTGAGTGAAACACAACAAAGCAAAGACGTTTAAAAAAAAGGCGAGAAAAAGATGCAAAAAGAGACAAAATGACCTCAAAGTGATGCGAAAGACAAAAACAGAGAGAAAAAAAACAACCACAAAGAGACAGAAAGTGACAACAAAAATGTACAAAATGAACAAAGTGACAACAAAAAACCCCAACATGAACAAAAAAGGACACAAAATGACAACAAAAATGTACAAAATGAGCAAAGTGTCAAAAAAAAATGACAACAAAAACCCACAAAATAAAGTGACAACAAAAAACCCCACAAAATGACAACAAACCCCCCAAACAATGAACACAAAGTGACACAACGTGACAACAAAAACCCAGAACATGACAGCAAAAGACACAAAATGAGCACAAAATCACAGAAAGCTGCAAAATGATCAGAGGCTAAAAAAAAAACACACAAAAGACGCACGTTGTTCAGAAATCAGCATAAAAGCTGAAAAAAAGGTAAAAATCAAAATGAATTGTGATTTTAATTCACCTGAAGGAAGCAGAACAAAGACTGATGGTTCAGTTTTAGACAAATGAAGACAAACAGGTTTATTTTCATGTTTTTTATTGATCCTGTGACGACGACAGAAACATCTTCATCCTCAGCGTCGGCACGGTAACCTGGAGAGGAAGACTCAAACCTTCAGGGAACATTGGAGGAATGTTCAGGGCAGAAACTGGAGGTTCTGAAGAAAACTAAAAGCACGCTGACGTTTCTGCCACGAAGTCAGACAACCAAATATTACAACCAACGTTCACTGAAGCTGCTGAAATAACTTGTGGAGTGAAAACAAAGATCGTGTGTTTAGGACAAACTGACTTCATGTGAGGTTTGTTTAAACTAATCCGATATTTATTCACTTTAAAGTCATTTAGAGCTGCGACACTTGTTTTCTGGATGAATCAATCACATGTTTGGTCCCTAAAATTGTTCATTAAATTCATGCTGATTTTAAATTTCACCTGTTTGGCTCTAAATGAACCTGAAGTTTGATTGGATTGAAGTTCATTCTCCTGCTGCAACTAATGATCATGTTCACTTATCAGGTACTGAGTGCTTTAACAGTTTGGTCTCAAACATGTCAGAAAATGGTGAAAAATCCTGTTTTGTCCAAAGATGTTCAGTTTAGTGACACAGAGGAGGAAAAAAATCAGAAATATTCACATGGACGAAGCTGCAAACACAGAATTTACACGTTTTTTGTTAGAAAATGACTTCATCACTTCTGACTGACTAGTTGGGAGTTCCAGATACTTTTATCCTAAAGGATCCATTAACACCTGAGTTTTGGTTTCATTTGGGGTTTTGTTGCTCCTCCCCCTTGTTATGTGAGTTGTTAGTGCACCTCCTGCCACAACGGGGTTCGTTAGGGTCTTTTGTGGCTCTAGGTGTGGATGTGGTTTCATCTTCCCGGGGTGTTCATGACTCCTTTAGGATAAAAGTATCTGGAACGCCCAACTAGTCAGTCAGAACTGATGAAGCCTCTTGGATGAGACGTGGAACGTCTTCAAGGAACTCAAGCAAGTCCAGTTGTTACGATTAATCTACCAGAACAACCAGACAATAACGTAATCAGTTATTATGCTATTGGCCAAAAGATATGATGTTATCAGCCGTTATTGTAAAAGTTAATTGTTGCAGGTCTACTCTTGTGTTTTTCTGTTTAAACTTTGATGTTTTTGACACAGTCCTTAAAACGACAACGTTTCTCCTGCAGCCTGATGAGTTTTGAACTGCTTCTGTGCTTCAGCTTTTGCCTGCCATTGGTCACAAAAGCATAAATAAATAAATAAATAAATAAACAATTTTTAAATGAAGAAAAAAAACAAAATACATTTAAAAAATAATTTAAAAAAACATAAATTTTTAAAAAAGATTAAAAATCAAAATAAATAAACTTAAAACATAAAAATAAATACATTAATATATTTTATTTGTCTTTATATTTCTACTTTTATTAGCCTTTTCTTTTACGTATTACATTTTTAAATAATATTGCTTTAAGTTGCCACGTTATGTTTTTTTTTAATTTTATTTATTCTCCTTTTTATTTCCACTTTTATTTTATTATTCTTTCACTGATGTATTTTTGTAATTTGGCACTCCAACACAGAAACCACTCTTTGATGACAGAAAGACAAACTTTAATTTGACATCAAACTACGAGCTTCATTCTCAACAGAAAACAGAACATGAAGGAGGAGAAACAAACTTCTAACAAACATCTCTGGAAACCTTCAAACCAAAAAAACGAAACAAAAAAAACAGATTTTTTTTTTTCCGATTTCTGCAGAACAAACGATTAAGTTTCAGCTCCAACACAAACACACCGTCTGCTGCGTTTACTACCAATAATAATAATAATAACAATAATAATAATAACAATAAAAAAACAGTATTAAAATGGAACAAAAAGGGGAAATAGAAATGAAAGCTAAAGCCACACAGCTCCTTTGTCGTCGCTTCTCTAAATCAT